AAAAAAAAAAAAAAGCGACCACGAAAAACGATATTTCTGCCTTTTCAAACTTGGGGCCTGATGTTACCCCCTTGTAATGTTATGACTGCCTTTTCGAACTACGGCCTTTTTTTCATTGCCCATTATTGTTTCTTTTGCCTTTTCAAACTTCGGTTGTGACACAAACGTACTTGCCCCTAATAATAATAATAATAATAATAATAATAATAATAATAATAATAATAATAAATCTGCTGACTTGCGCTCCTGTTCATCCCCATTCTGGCTTGCAGGACCGCTAAGAGCGCCGGAGTTACGCACCCCCGGGATGGAGGGCTTATGCAAGGGCAATCTCAAAAAAAAAAAAAAAAAAAAAAAAGCGCCAGAGTTCCGTAGAGCACAGGCTCAAAAGGAGTGAGCACATACCTGCCCCACGTGGCTGAACGTTACACGTGTGTAAGTGGTGTGTAAGTGGTAATAAACAGGTCACGAGTTCAAATCCTGACGAAATACGAGGAATGCAGTAGTGCTAGAGGCCAACCCCTTACTTTTGTTGAGTTCTTTGAGAGAAAAGGAGTGAAGAGGTGTACAAAACACAGAGATGTCAGTGCACCTGCCGACGGCAGACGGAACGCAGGCCTCCTTCCGGCTTACCTGTACATCCGTTTCATGAGCTTCATATCTCCCAGCATGCGAGCGTCTTCTGCTCTAATGAGCAAGGCTTTAACTTGATTGCAAGCATCTGCCATATCCATGGTCATCTGCTGGCGTGTTGTGTTATAGTTTTCGACTTCCTCCAGGACTCTGCAGAACTCATCCATCTCCGAAGGAAAGTCTGCAATGGATTCTAGCTCAGTGATCATCAGATTAGAGCACAGGTCCTGAACAAAATCCCCACTGAGCTCCATGTTATCGGTTCTGATAATCATCTGCCACATTCTCAAACAGGAAGAGACCAGAGGGAGAACGGGAGGTTAGAGAGGAGGAGCACAATGAGGGCTGAGGACAGAGCACGAGGAAGCATAGGTAATTGTGGAAACGTCGTGATGAGGGAGGGATGGACAGACACACACACACACACACACACACACACACACACACACACACACACACACACACACAC